AGGGGTCACATCTGGGGGGGTTTCTGTGCCCCGGGAGGGCAGTTTGGGGTTCAAACCCCCCAAAACCACCCCTGACTCCTCCTTCCCCGCCGCAGGTCCCCCTCCCCCACCTCACTGGGACCACCCCCCACGCATGGCCCGGCCCAGCCCCCCCCTTCTCCCCCCCGGCCCCCGCTGACCCCCCGACAGGTGACCCCACAGGTGAGGGGGCGGGACTTGGGAAAGGGGAGGGGTTTAGGGAGGGGCAGTGCCTGGGGGGACTTTGGAATCCAGGTGAGACCTCGCTGGGACCCTTCCCAGGTGTGTCCAAGTGTGACAGATGTGTCAACACGTGTCCAGGTGTGTCCAGGTATACCCAGGTGTGTTCAAGCTTTGTCCATGTGTGTTCACATGTGTCCAGATGTGCAATTACATGTCCAGGTGTGCCCAGGTGTGTGACTGCATGTACAGGTGTGTCTGAGTATATCCAGGTGTGTTCAGGTCTATACAGGTGTGTCCAGTTGTGTGACCATATGTACAGGTGTGTTCAGGTATGTCTCGGTCTCTACATACATGTCCAGGCGTGTTCAGGTGCGTAACCACGTGTGCAGGTGTGTAAAGGTGTGTGACCACATGTACAGGTTTGTGCAGGTATATCCAGGTATGTCCATGTCTATACAGGTGTGTTCAGGTGCATCCAGGTGTGTTCAGGTGTGACAGGCATGCTGAGGGGTATCCCACATGTGTCCCATGTGCCAGGCATGTCCAGGGACTACAAGGCGGACGTTTGTCCCATGTTTGGTGTCCCGCGTTGTTCCCGTGTTGTTCCCATGTGTCAGGTGTGTTCCAGGCATGTCCGGGGACTACGAGGAGGACGTTTGCCGCAGCGCTTTGCGCCTGGTACACGAGCTTTGCTTCGCCCCCCGGGCCCGACCCCCCCACGCCCGGTGCCTCGAGTTCACTGACCTGCTCCGGCACCGCGGCCACCCCCGGCCTGCCGACACAGGTACGGGGGGTGCACACCTAGGGGGCACCTGGGGACAGGGATACACCTGGGGGGGGACCTGGGGAC